ACCTAAACTTAACAACTACCTTACTAAATATTAATAAGCAGCAAATTAGGAATTTTTTGAGGGAAAAGTTAGTTAATAGTGAATAAGTGTTCCCTATTCTAAAGTGTTACCCAAAAAAACACTTGCTTGCTGTTGTACAAACAAAGCTACAAGAATACAGATAAACATTGACAACTATATATTTAAAATTTTATATTTTAGTTGTATTGTGTTTGGTGTTCATTTATGTGTACTAGGTTTAATGCTGACACCATAATTGATATCCTAAATTGATTTGTGTGTGTGTGTGTGTGCGTGCGTGCGTGCGCGCACACGTGTGTGTGACAGATAAATACTGCTCATTTGATAAATATCTCATTTAAATTATATTCCCCTCATATATGGCTTAAGCTATACATTTTGTTACTAACTTGTACTGAAGCTAACTTCTTTTTTAGGGTAGCTTGTGCAGTTGAGCTACATTCAATTATTAATATCATTAGTAACGTTTCTTTCTATGTCTGTAGGTACGTTCAGCTGTTCGTAAGCGGTGGCATCGCTGGCAGGATAAGCACTCCATTCGGGCGCGGGTGGCACGGGCCATGTCTATTCCCACCTCTCCAACACGGGTCAGTTTCCACAGCATCAAGCAGTCGTCGGCCATCTGACCATAACCAAAGCGAAGCATCCGTCCCCGTTTCTTCTGCTCCTGCTCTTTCTGTCCTCAGCTAACTATCCACGTCCTCTGCAAAACCCAGGGATAACAGCTATGGGTCAAACAGGGTATGATCCTCAGCTGAAACACAGATGAAGGGTGGCAATGTACACAGATTATGAGGTCCACCTGCCAAACACAGAGGAAAAAACTGTTTTAGAAACAGATTAGAGCATTGGTGGTCTCAGACAGCGATGGGTGACCGTGGGAGGAACCTGACACACACACACACAAAGTTGATAAATACTGGCAGAGCGTATTTTTTCAAGAGACAATAGAGTTAAATGTTGCATCCTCTCCTCCTGATCTCGAGTCTTCTCTGATTGGAGAGCTCAGTTTATTCCTAACTTGTTTCCAGAACTATCGGAGTTGGATAAAATGGAATATACACTACATGGCCAAAAGTATTGCGATTGTGAGCCATACATGCGTCTGAATGGGACCAAATCCATATTCCTACATCAATTGGAAACCTTCCCAGAAGAGTGGAAGCTGCAGGATAAACTCCTTATTGATGCCAATAGTTTTGAAATTAATTGCTTAGAAATCACATATGGGTTCAGTGTTCATGTGTCCTCAAGCTTTTGGCCATATAGTGCAATAGTTTTAGGAGTTTTAAAACAAAATGACATAATCAGAGAAAAAAAAAACAGCAGTTTTCCAATCGGAAAACAAACAATATCTTTGACAGATCTCAATGTGAACTTTCATTATTGTGATTGAATCTTTTAACTGGATACATTGGAGACAAATGTATGGTGTTTTCTCCGAGAAGTTCAGGGGTGCGTTTCCCAAAAACAACTATGGTCGCAAGTTCCGTCGTTACCAATAGAGTTCAATGGAACTGACGACCAGAGTTAGCTAACGATGCTTTTGGGAAACGCATCCCAGATTGTGACCCTTATACTTTTTCTTACTCTTCACTCGCTGCTCTTTATTCACGTCGTTGCAGCTAGTAATAGTTCCCTCTGATTGTCATAAATTTCCTGTGAGCAACCTCATTCAACATGGACACTTTTTGCTTTGATATGATGAGTACATCTATTGCTGTGTATATCATGCAGTGCGAGTGTGAAAACTCTAAACCGTTTTTAGAAAGATGAAAGGTACGTGTTAATGCTCTCTAAGCCTGTTTGCATCCTGGGACTCAAGGATACAGTATATCTAAACCCTGGGGAAAAAGAGGAAGGAAGCTCACAGGAAAGGAAACAACATCATGAAAGGCTAAGGTAGAAGACGGTACGCTCCGATGCTAAACACATAACACAATCTTTTAAATAAGGGGTTTATCACAGAACAAAGAAAGGATTTTGATTTTATCCTGTATTTGGAGCCTCAGCCAAGCTGGCGATTGAATGTATTTCAATTAACCACTCCAGCTCTCCTTTCCATGCACAGTTTCATATAAATTCCCAGTTATCAAGCAGTTTTACGAGATGATCATAGTACGAAATACTTGCGAATTTGGATTCTGGAGACTTTTCCAAAAAAGACTAATTCTAATCACACGCGACTGGATGCTGTGGGTAGTTTTTGTTGCCTAAGAGCCTTATAGTGATAGTTCACCCAAAATGACTATTCTGTCATCGTTTACTCATGTTGATCCAAAATAGTATGACTTTATTACTTCCAGCAAACACAAAAGGAGAAATTTTGAAGAATGTACACCACCGTTCAAATGTTCAGTAAGATTTTTTTTTTTTAAAGAAATAATCAATACTTGTATGCGGTAAGGGTGCATTAAATTGATCAAAAGTGTCCGTAAATGCATACAAAACATGATATTTCAAATAAATGATGTTCTTTTGAACTTTCTATTCATCAAACAATGCTAATAAAAAAGTATCACAGTTCCACAAAAATATTAGGCAGCAGAACTCTTTATAACGTTGATAATAAGAAATGTTTCTTGAGCAGCAAATCAGCATATTTGCATGATTTCAAAAGGATCGTGTGACACTGAAAACTGGAGTAATGAAAATTTAGCTTTGCATCACAGAAATAAATTACATTTTAAAATCTTTTTTTTTTCTTTATTTTGTATTAGTTTTGTAATAATTTGATTATTTGAGCATTTGGACACTTCTTTCAAAAACATTAAATATTTTTGAACGGTAATGTAGCTGGATGCTTTAGTACACTCTAAAAAATGCTGGGTTAAATATAACCCAGCACTGGGTTAAAAAGTGACAAACCCAGCTATTGGGTTGTTTTGACCCAACCGGTTGGGTTCAAAACAACCCAACCGCTGGGTCAAAACAACCCAATAGCTGGGTTTGTCCCTTTTTAACCCAGCATTTTTTTAGAGTGTAATATTCCACTCCAGTAAGCTATTCACTTGAGAACTGCAACAAATCGGATCACGGAATCAATTAGTTGAATTGAATCAGTTTGATTTGTGAATGATTCTTTTATTCACAGACTGGTTTTGTGAACTCGGTCAGCTGATTCACTGAAAAGATTTAACTCAAAAATGATATGTTCACAAATATGAATAAATTTGTGCTTCAAGGAAGAAAGAAATTCCAATGGGTTCAGAACATCATGAGGGTGAGTAAATGATGACAGGTTTCATTTTGGGTGAACTATCCCTTTTTAAAATGTCAGTTATTTCTATGAAACAAGGTGCATTTCAACATTTACATTGCTAATGGTGTTACAGGTGTGGACAGGAAATTATATGGAGAGCAGGGAAGTCACCGTGTCATTTGTGGACCATTTTTTCCCTAGTTTCTTTGGACAGCTGTTCTGTAGGGAAATAAATTAGAAAAATAGATGAATAGTGCATTTTTGTGTTTTCCAGGACCAGCTTCTCAATTCAAATCCCAACAGAATCAGGCCAGAAGAATTACCTCAGCAAAATCTGCTTCTATATCATTAGAGTCAAGAGAGATCTAGAGAGATTTAACCTCCATCCATGTGTTAAAACCCTCGCTAAGCTGAGCCGCCAATGGCCGAGTCCTGTGACCACTCACTGCTGATTCAGCACAGTAAAGCAGATTTAGCTTTTCTGCTCATACATCCAATCAAACACATCTGATAGGGAGAGCAAGGTTGTTTTTAAAAAAAAACTGACTCAGGACCTTCATCTTTGCCTCTGTGCTCTTCTGACCTTACTGAAGTACTTGTGCTTAGAATCATTTGTAAAGGCTTCAGCAGATTCCACATTCAGTCATGCTTGTTGTGTACATGTCCAGTAGCACCATATATTCGAGTTAGACATCTAGTTGTGTATATATAGGATGACTAGCATTGTGAAGTTTGTTAATTACCATATAGCATTGTGTATACCTGACAAACTGAGGACCAAGCTTGTGTCACTGCTAGTAAACTGAAACACAAGGTTCGTTTTAGTGTCGCTACTAAGTTTAGGACTAAGGCTTTGTTTGGTTTTTAAATATGTTTTTAGGCTGTGCACAGTCATTTTACAGTGAAATCTGATCCGTTTGTTCTGACAGTGTAGTAAATATCTGGATGCCAGCAGTTGTTAGTGGAAAGAGAGGGCAGAAGGTAGAAATTTTGCCTCTGAACATGTCTGTCATGACATCTTGCCACTGTGCTGAACTCACAAGACTCATGAGAAAACATTAGTGGTGGGCATTTTAGCCATTCATGCATATTCTGTGTACAAAACCACCTGTTTGTTCACTGTTCACTACATAGTGAAAGCTTTTATCTCATTATATGAGGAAAAAGTGAGAGAGTATATTCTGACACAGTTCCAAACAATACTGAGCATTTTGAATGATATACAAAAGTTTGTGGTCTGTAAGATGTTTTAATGAATGCTTTTATTCAGCAAGGATACAATAAATTGATATACAAAATGACAATTTATGTTGTTACAAAAAATTATATTTTAAATAAATGTTGTTTATTGAGCTTCCTATTCATCAAAGAATCCTAAAAAAGGCATCACAGTTTCTACAAAAATATCAAGCAACACAACTGCCTTCAACATTGACAATATTAAGAAATGTTTCTTGAGCCTGGTGCATATTAGAAGGATTTCTGACACTGAAGACTGAAGTAACAATTTTGCCTTCACAGGAATAAATTACATTTTGAAATCTATTAAAATAGAATACAGTTATTTTAAATTGTAATAATATTTCACAATATTACAGTTTGTAACATATTTCAAAAACATTTAAAAATCTCACTGACCCCAAACTTTTGAACAGTATAGTGTGTATTTAATGCAGCACCCCAGATAATGATTAAAAAGTCTGAAATCTGATCAAACCATTTAGACTGAGATTTATAAGGATTTCAAACCACATATGGATGTTGTCTTTGTCTGTAATTACTTATTTTTTCAAGCCTGTAAAATGGCCTGTCAAATTTGATCTCAAATTGCAGCAGCAAAGGAAGATCAGATTACAAAAATGAAACAAATCACCCCATCGATTTACTGGCATGCCACTAAATTTTCAATCAAGACTCTCTCAAAGCACAATATACCAGTGGACAAAAATATATCAGGAGATAATGTACAGTCAGCTGGTCATTAAGTGGTTTATTTTGAGATAATGTCCATCTGACTGTACATTATTCCACTTATTAGACCGCTGCCTATCATGTAAATGCATAAATGGATATGAAATATTGATTTGAGTTGAAATGATTTGATTATGTCAGAAGAAGGAGTCTGCAGAGGTTTTCAGGGACAATGGTTAAATGTGCAATCTAGTGGTCAGTCTGACTGCAATTGACCAATCAGAATCATGTATTCCAGAAAACCATGAAATGAAAATAGAGAAACTAAGAATAGCTGGATGCTGAATAGCAAAACTCCACAGACAGTGATAGATGTGATGTGGCCAGAAATGAGAGAAGCTTAGGTTACTATTTATGTTGAACAGATCTGTTTGCTGGTGCATGTGGAATCACATCACCTGAGGGATCTGATTTAGCATCGTAGGCCTGAAGAGTTTCACAGCACTGCTCAGACACACTCCATCAGCATTTGCCTCACTATTTATAGCACTTTAATAGTAAACAGCTCAAATGTTCACGTCATATACAAACCTGTGGGGCTACTAGCAAAAATGCCGTCTAGAGACGCAAAGGTACAGTCTATACAACATTAAATAATATTACAATATATTATCATCCTGAAGAGCTAAAATAGTGACATATCTAGTGAATTAGGTGTTAGTTCTAGAATATAGAATATACTAGAATATAGTCAAACCATATTCTAGTGCTTGCAGTGTCTAACAGTATCTAAACCTTTCATGTACCATATAAAAACATAATCCAGTGTCACATATATATTATTTACAAATCATTAATCAGTAAGTGCTGGGACGTAGCGACACCATTTTACTACATTCAGTGGCATTAGATGCAAATTGATGGTTTCACTGCACTTTTAAAAATAAAGGTTTCTTATTGGCATCTGTGGTTCCATGAAGAACCTTAAACATCCATGGAACCTTTCCATTTCGCAAAAGGTTCTTTATAGTAGAAGTGTTTGTCAGATTATTC